CGGGCACGGTCGAGCCAGCCAAGATGGCGCCCTGGCTGGCTGCCAAGCCTCGTGCCCCTCACTTGTTTGCTCCAACTCACGCAAGCGCTGTAAGCTTGATCACGCGGGCAGCCTGCCTGACATGATACGTCACCGAGCATGATTCTATTGCGTGGCCCATTGATTTGCTGCTCTGCCTGCATGTTAGCCCCGTGCTCATGTCCTGATTGGCTCCGTGTGACGGTCTGATTGTGGGATGGATCTGATGAGGGTATATATTGTGGGATGACGAAGAATAAAAGAGAGAGAATTGCTTGAACCTCACCTTGGCGTCCGTGTTGTCCTTTCCTCGGCTCTGCTGGTCGGAGTCTTGGTTCGCAGCACTCACAGTCTGTTTTTTGGTCTCCATCGCTCTATTGTAGTATGACTTGAGCCTTCTTACAATTCCCCTTCAAGGCCCAGCTTCCTGTAAATTGTAATTGGTTCATTAGTTATTCATTCTATCTAATTAGATTCCCCGAGAGAAGAGCCTGTGACTTAGCCATTTGGCCAACTGGGCAGTAGGATAGTGGAAGATTACTTTTCATACAATTCTAATGGTTTCTTTAGGTTAACTCAATTCTTGGGATCCTTGCTCAAATGCCATAAGGGAGAATTGTTAACAGGTTAAGGGTCCTGGGTAGAGAAAGAGACAGACAACTGAATGTGGTCAAAACAGTGCCCCTGCATTTTGAGGCATTTCCCTGTCACCACCTAGCAGACTCCTCATCTTCAAATGAGCAGGAATTGGGTTAGACAACCTCGCTAACAAAAATTCTATGATCTCTGCCAGGCGTAGTGGCACATACCTTTAATCCCAGCACTTGAGAGGCAGAGGCAGGTGGATCTCCATGAGTCTGAGGCTAGCCTGGTCTACATATCACGTTCCAGGCCAGCTGGGGCTATAGGGAGACCCTGTCTCAAAAACAACAACAACAAAAAAAAACCATCTCTTTTAATAGTCTCATGGATGTAATACGCTATTTACCCATTCACTTATTATTGAGTATTTGAACCGTCTCCAGTCTTCAACTATTGCAAATAAAACTATGAGCAACAGTAAAAATTTAAAATACTTGTAACAATCTGCCTCCTTGCCTCTTCGCCTTAGCTGAAACTGTTTCAGTGAGCTGCAGCAGCGTTGGAAATCATAACTCTAGCCAGTTATCAACCTAATTGAGTCTATTTCCTTCCTCTCCTGACTTGGATGAGTGTTTTTTAAGTCAGCTGAGATGCATTTCTTCCATGAGTTGGATGGAGACTTAGGACACACTCTTCTGATTCTTCTTCCTCTTTTCTTTTTTTAGGGGATGTGTATATGGAGGTGTTGAGGCAGGGTCTAGTTATGCAGCCCAGTCTGGCTCTTAAACAGGGAGTTGGATCTCTTTGAGTTCTAGGCCATCCTGGTCTACATAGAGAGTTCCAGACCAGCCAGGGCTACAAAGTGAGGCCTTGTATAAAAATAATAAGAAGAAATATAATAATAATAATAATAGTAATAATAATAAAGTGAGGTTTTAAATTGAATGTGTTAGCTCCTGTCTGTAATCCCAGCATGCCAGAGGATACCAGCTGAGACAGGAGAATTGCCAAGAGCTCACGACCAGGCTGAGCTACACAGTGAGACCCTGTATCAAAACTCCCATTAACAAACAAAGCAACAAGAGGCATTAAGGCAGGCCTACTGGTGCAAACCAATAATCCCAGCTGAGGCAGGAGGGTCACACAATTTCAAGACCAGCCTCAACAATGTAGTGAGATCCTGTCTCAAAATTAAAAGTGAAAAAAGGGGTCTAGGAATATAGTTGAGAGGCAGATCACTTAGCATGTGTTCAATCTCCACCATGGCAGGTAAAGAAAAGTTTAAAAATAAAAGCAAGGTGTTATTGTTAGTTATAAAATTAACTCTGAGAAGCTCTTCAGGAAACCTAGTGGAAATTCTACTGTTAGTCTATGTATTAAACTGGGAGAAACTGGTCCCCGGCATCTTGCCCAGGGCAGTTAGCCTTTCATTCTTTCACACTTTAGCAATAAAGCACTGAATGAATGCAGGACTTGATGAATGAAGAACCCATAATTTGCTATGAAAATGTCAATTTGCTGTGGCTAAAGCTCTGGCAGGCGCCTTTCAGGGCTGACACAGTTCAGGGCTGAGTCCAGTTCCCTCTTGGATCATTCCTCTGAGGCTCACTTCCTTCAGGCTTCTGTGAAGACACTCCTTCAGGGAGGTTTTCTAAGGTAAACCCTTTCCTCCATCCCTTCCTAACAACCTACAGTCTTGTTCTGATTTCCTGACCCCAGCACACTTTTCTATACACAGTTTACTTCTGTCTAGCCAGGCCTGGGGTGGGGGACACAGGCTTGTAATTCTAGGTATTCTGTAGGCTGAGGCTAGAGGGTCTGAAGTTCAAGGCCAACCTGGGCTATAAGAGCCAGTTCAAGGCCATGGCCAGACCGTCTCAAAAAGTAGCAGGAAGGCTGGGGGAGGAATTAGCTCAGTGGTAGAGCATTTAGCAAGACCAGAGGCCTAGTTTAAATCCCCACTACAAAGCCTTCCCTCTGTCTGGCATGTTATCAATACGTCAATGCTTTTCCCATCTGCCTTCCCTGGAATATGAGGCCCAGGGGCGTGGGGCGTTTGTCCGGTTCTCTCCTGACCGGTCCCGGATAGCACTGGACGGACGCAGTAGTGGCTCAGTGAACTCTCCAACCCCGCCAGACGCCGCAGCAGCTTCCTCCCTCCGCCCGCAGCGACCTCCCGCCTCCCGCCGTCCCGGCCGCCCGCACCCACCATCCCGGCTGCGGCGGGCGTTGAGCTGCCCAACCGCCCGCGTCGCGGCCCCGCTCTCTGCTGCCCTGGCCCCGCGCTCGGTTCGGAAGGATCCGTTGACGGTGGGAAACGCTGCGCCCTCCGCACACGCTCCGCGCGCGGGCCACGCTCGGTCCCTCGCGGGTGGCGGACGGGCCCCAGCCCTGCCTCGCCTGGCTGCCAACCGACCAGCCGGCGACCTGGGGGCCTCCGGCACGCCCTCCGGCGGCTGCCCGCGCCCGGAGCCTTCACCGGGCAACGGTTCTGGGCCCCGCCATCCTCCAAGGCCGCCGTTAGGAGGGTGGTGGCATTTCTGCTTTAAGAGATACCTGTGCCCCTCGCGCCTCCACGCCCCCGAGATGCTGCCCCAGATGTCCCCGGGCAGGCCAGGCTGAGCGCAATTCTGGGAACTCGCGGGGACCCAGGGGCTGTGCTTCCGTGCAAAGCCCAGCTACCTCGGTCTGCAGATGTTGAGGACTCTAGGGTTTGGAGGTTTGCGGTGATAAGGGTCTGTGCTGCTGCCACGTTGATGTGTCGGGCAAGTACTCAGGGCAAAGTGGGTTTGGAGGGGTGAGGACTAGACTTGCAACGACTTTGGGCGACTGTACACGGTAGCATGGCTTTAGGAACCGGTTGAGCAGAAGCTGGCGGGGGGTTTTAAAAGCTGCATTGCACTTCTCAAGACAGCTTAGCAAACAAACCAGCACGCGCCAAGGTGTGCGACTGAGTGAATCACTAGGGAACTTCGCTTTAAACCCATATATACCCAGAATGGCTGAGGCAAGGGAGAAGGGGCCAGGGAGGGCAAAGAAAGCGCATCAAGCAGCGGAGACAGCGAAATAGAACTCTCATACACCGTTTTTGGCTTTTAAAAAAGACAGGGTCTCTTATAGCGGGCCTCAAACTCCCGGTCTAGCAGAAGCTGGCCTTGAACTTCTGATCTGCCTGTCTCCACTTCCTGAATATCAGGATTACAGGCATGTGCCACCATGCCAGGCTTTCTTTTTTTTCTTTTTTCTTTTTGTTTTTGAGACAGGGTGTCACTCTCTAGCCCAGGCTGCCCTTGAACTCCTGTTCCTTCTGCCTCGGTCTCCCAAGTGCTGGGATTACAGGCATACCACCACATACATTGTTCTAATAAATTACTTAATAATTTGTAAACTGATAATTGTAAAAGCCACTTTGGAACAAAATAGAACATGGGTCTACCCTATGTTACCCAACAATTCTGCTCTTAGGTGTATGTTCAGCAGAAATTATACATATGCAATCCAAAAAATAGGTGTTAGAATGTTTGTTACAAGACCTCTTGGTTCTTGTCTTTTAATGAAAAAGATGTATTTATTTTTATTTTATTTCTTTTTAATTAAAAATTTGCAAATTTTATATATTTTGTTTATTACATTTTTATGCATTTCATGCAAAATATCATAATCCTCTTTATACCCCCCTCCTTCAGCCACACATTAAAAGATAGAACCTCACTGGATTTCATGTGCTCTGTCATATATGTTAAGACTTTTTTTTTTCTTCTTTTTTTTTTTGTCTTTTTGAGACAGGGTCTCCCTGAAGTCCCAGCTGACCTGAACTCACTATGTAGACCAGGCTGGCCTTGAACTCACGACCATCCGCCTGCCTCTGCCTCGGATTAAAGGCATGCGCCACCACGCCCGGGTTTTTCTTCTTTTTTTAAAAGACAAAACCTCACTATGTAGCCCTGGCTGACCTCGAACTCACTATTTTCATGAGTGAGGCTGGCCTCAAACTCACAGAGATCCACCCTGCCTCTGCCTCTGGAGTCCTGGAATAAAAGGTGTGTGCCCCACTCCCAGCTTTAAAGATGTATTTATGTGTATGTGTATGAGTGTTTTGCCTGGATGTATGTAAGTGCACCACAAGTGTTCTAGTGTCCACAGAAGCCAGAAGAGAGCATCAGATCCTCTGGAACTAGGGTTCCAGACTGTTGTGAGCTTCTGGGAATGGAACCTGGATCCTCTCCCATTACAGTAAGTGAGCCACTGAGCCATCTCTTCAGACTTGTGTTCCTTAAAAATTTTTTAAAAATTATATTTATTTGTTGAGGGGCGTGAGTGTGGAGGTCAGAGGATAACATGTAGGACTTGGTTCTCTCTTGCATGTGGGTTTTGAGGATCAAATTCAGGTGGTCAGGAGTGGCAGTAGGTGCCTTTACCTGCTGAGCCATCCCACTGACCCTGGTTTCTTGTCTTCTTGAAGGAAAGAATTCAGTGGAGAGACAGATCATTTAAGCAGAAGTTGATTTAGTAAAGCAAGCACTCCAAAGAGATTGGACTCCGAAGAGTGGACTGTAGCACAATGAATTCTGTATCACGGATTTTAAAGAAGTTATTTTTAAAGATTTATTTTTATTTGTGTGTGTGTGTGTGTGTGTGTGTGTGTGTGTGTGTGTGTGTCTTCTACATGTGTTTGAGTCCCCTCAGAAGCCAGTAGATGGTGTCAGATTTCCTGGTGCTGCAGTTACAGGTGGATATGAGCCACCTGACATGGGTGCTGGAATACAAACTCAGGTCCTCTTGAAGAGCAGAGAGTATTCTTAACCATGGAGCCATTTCTCCAGTCCCCTTAAGAAGTTTTTATGAATATTTATGAAGTGAGTGGCATATTCATAGGATAAGTGTCTTCCCTTGTAGGATATCTTTTTCCCATGAGTCTCTAGAAAAACCCATAAAGGGATGCAGATGACTGTAATGCACCTGAGGTCTGAGGTTGCAGATCCTTTGCTAGAGCACGTGTTGGAAAGTGCTCTGGCACTTTAGTTTTTATTTTTCTCTTTTAAAAACATTATTATTATTATTATTATTATTATTATTATTATTATTTTGGTCTTTTTGAGACAGGGTCTTTCTGTAGCCCCAGCAGTCCTGGAACTCACTATGTAGACGAGGCTGGCCTTGAACTCATGGAGATCCACCTGCCTCTGCCTCTCGAGTGCTGGGATTAAAGGCACCACCACGCCCGGCTTAATTATTATATTTATTGTGTATGCATGTGTTGCCTGCGTGTAGGTAAGTGCATCCATGTTGTGCAATGTCCGGGAAGGACAGAAGAGACTGTTGGATCCCCTGGAACTGGAGTTACAGACAGCTGTTAGCTGCCACGTGGGTGCTGGGATTCAAACCCAGGTCTTCTGCAAGAACAGTCAGCATTCTTAACCGCTGCTCTATCTCTCCACCCCAGCACCTTAGTTTTTCATATAGCAAGACAGCCTCTCTGCAGTCTCAAAGAAGATTAACCACAGAGGGGCAGTCCAAACATCAGGAGACGCAGCTACCAAGATCTGGCTGTGGATTTCTTGGTTACCTCCTATCTAACTCCTTTTTCTGGAGGCTGCTCAAGGTCCATGATTGATCTTATAGCAGTTTGTCAGTTAAGACATTATTATTATTGCTATTATCATTATTATTATTATTATTGGTCTTTATGAGACAGAGTCTCACTGTAGCCCTTGATGACCTGGAACTTGCTGTATAAACCATGTTAGCCTTGAACTGACAGAGATCCACCTGCCTCTGCCTCCCCAGTGCTGGGATTAAAGGCGTGTCCCACCACGCCCAGCTAAGACAGCGTTATTTTTTTTAATTGACACTTTATCATGAAAGCTGAGGCTAGGGTTTTAGCATAGCTTGTCAGGCTGTGCAAACAGGAACAGGGTTTATCTATCTCTTAGGACTCCCTCCGAACCCCACCTACTTTCAGCCCACTGCTCATGTTGACTTTCTACCTAACTCGCCTCAGTACCATTCATGTAACAACTCTATGATGGCCAGTCTGTATTGTCAACTTGACTGGATTTAGAATCACCATGAAAACACACCTCTAGGTGTCTCTGCAGGTGTTTCCAGAAAGGTTCAACTGAGGAGGAAATATCCATCCTAAATGTAGGCAGCAGCATCCCATAGTCTGGAGTCAATGACCTAATAAGATGGAGAAAGCGAACTGAGAACCAGCATTCATCTCTCTCCAATTTCTGCTAACTATAGTCACAATGAGACCTGTTACTGCCTCACATTCCTGAGGCCCTGTCTACCCGCCAGAATGGACTGTATCCCTTCCTAAAATGTGAGCCAAAAAAGGCCTATCCTTCCTAGAGTTACTTTTGTCAGGTATTGTGTTACAGCAATGAGAAAAGTAAATAATACAAGGGGCAAGTCAAAAATAATCCAAATGTCTGCCACCGGCAGAAACCAGAAATAAAATCTATCCACACCAGGAACAGCCTTGAAAACAAATGCAGTAAAAACACATGCAACTTGTTGGGGGACCCTGCTGCTAAGGTTGTAGTCCTCCATGTCTGGATAGCTCTAAGGGGCTCAGGGCTATGTGGAAGGACTCCCTTTCTCAGCAGGGGCCTCCTGTTCTCTGCCTGACTTACCTGGAAAGTGCCTCCAAGCACGTATGCCTGACCTTATTCAGAACATGACCTTTGGTGTAGTTACCTGCAATAAAACTGCCCCCAGGTTTTTTCTATATGATAATTAGGCATTGCCCTATAGTCAGATGATAGGATGCCCCTACCACATGTAAATAAAGCATATGATGAGCACCTATCAGCTGAGGCTTTGACTGCTGCCTCCACACTATATTTTCCCTTAACCCCCACTGAATAAACGGAGCTGTATCATTGAATCTGCCTCCCCAGAAAGTATTTTTATGTCGTGCTCACTGGCCATCCTGACCCCATTCATAGCTTCTGCTCCCTTTGTTCTCGTGGGTCTGTGGCCAATGGCCCACAAGGGGAGGGAGAGACCCACAGCAACTGTACAGGTGAATCTCAAAAATTTTAAGTAGAAAGAAACTAAATGCAAAAGGGACCATGCTAGGCAACTCCATCTATATAAAGACCAAACATGGTCAGTCCCTGGTGCCATCAATCCACACTGTGGTTTTCTGCTGTGGTTTGAATATGCTTTGTCCTCATTTACTCCCCACTGTCAGAGGTGGAACTCAGTGGGACCTTTAAGAGGTTAGAGCTCTGCCCTCGTGAATGGGATTTATGTAATTAATGGTCTGATGGCTATGGGTTATCTTCAAGTAAGACTGCTAAAAGCCAGTTTGATTAAATGTCTCATACCCTCCC